GAACTGGCGACCCTGTTTCTCAGAGCTCATGCTCTTAATCAACTGAGCCACTTGGCTGGCCCCCTAGAGAGTATCTTTTGGTCCTTTCTTTCCCCCACCTTACTCTGGTAAAAAAGACTACAAGTATCTGTCTTACCTTTTCTTGGGCTCTTCCCCACAGCCATCCATCTCCCAACTTTTGTTGTCATTTGAGAATGTTATATAAATGCAAGCAGAGTACGTGCCCATTTGAGATTTTGAACTTAAAGCTCCTGAGATCCAGCCCAGTGTTGCGCACATCAGTAATTCTTCCTTTTGATTGTTGGGTAGTATTCCACAATATGGATGCCCTACAATGTGTTTTAACCATTCAGCTATTGCAAAAAGATTTGGTTCTTTCCAGATTTTACTATTACAAGCAAACCTACTATGAACACTAACACACAGGTTATCACGTGAACATACTTTTCCACTTCTTTTGGATGAATGCCAAGAATGAGGTGGCCGGGGCACAGGGTAAATGCATGTTTAGTTTTTTAAAAACCTTTGAGCTGTAATTGAGACATCATATAAGTCACCCCCACAGTCAGCTCTAGGCACCCACTAAACTACTTTGTCTACATTTCCACTGGCCCGTTCTGGCCATTTCATATACATAGGTTTACAATATGTGGCCTGTTCTACTGTGACTGGCGTTTTTCACTTAGCATGTTTTCAAGGCGCGTCCATGTCACAGTACATATTGACAATTTATCCCCTCTTATTGCCAAATATACCATATTTTACTCATCATTCATCAGCTGATGGACACTTGGTTGTTTCCATTTTTAGGTTATTATGCATAATGCAAGTTTCTGTGTGCATTAATGTTTTCATTTTCATTTCATTAATGTTAGCATTAATGTTCTCTGGGGTACACACCCAGGAATGGAATTATTGGGAATAAGGTAACTCTATTTTTAACCATGTTGAGTTTAAGAAATCGTCAAAATTATTTTCCAAAGTGGCTCTTCTAGTCCCATCAGCAACATATGAAAGATTCTGTCCTCTGCATCCTCACCAGCATTTAGTATTGTCAATATATTTAATTGTAGCTGCTCTCATAGGTGTGTAATAGCCTGTCTTAATGGACTTAATTTGCATTTCTCTCGTGGCTAGTGATACTGGACATCTTCTCATGTCTTATTTGCCGTACTTAGATCCTCTTCAGTGAAGTGCCTCTTCATGTCTTCTGCCCATTTTTCTAACAAGACTGTTTGGACTTTTACTGCTGAGATCTGAGATTCCTTTAGATATGCTCCAGGTGAGTTATCTGTCAGATGTGTGGATTACAAATAGCTGCTCCCAGTCTGTAACTTGTCTTTTCATCCTAACATGGTTTTTCACAAAGCAAAATTTTTAATCTTAATAAAAATCCCATTGACCAATTATTTTTCTTCTATAAATCATACCTTTAATTAGTCATATCTAAGAACTTTTCATCAATCCTGAATCCCCAAAATTTTCTTCTTAAAATTTTACTTTCATTGGTTAATTTAAATTTCTGTAAAGCTATTTTGGATTGATTTTTATAAGGTGTGAACTTTAGATAAAGGTTTTTGGTTTTTTGTGTGAGTTTGGATTTTCTTGCTTTGTTTCTTGCTGGTGGTGTCCAACTACTCCAGCACCATTGTGCTGAAGGATGTCCACCCCACAGTGACCTGAGAAACTGTGGCACCTTGGTCAGAACTCAGTTGGCTATACTCACAGGGAACTCTTTCTTGGTTCTCTATTCTGCTCCACTAACCCACATATCTATCCCTCTGCCAATATCACGGCCCTGATTACTGTGATGTCTTGAAATCAGTTAGCAACTCCAAGCTGTCTTAGCTATTCTAGTTCCTTTGCCTTCCCAAATAAATTTAGGATAACCATTTCCACATCTACAAAAATCTTGATGAGGTTTTGATGGCAATTGTGTTTAATCCGTTCATCAACTTGGGAGAGAACTGGCATCCTTTTTATGTTG